ACGACTACTACTACTACCACCACCACCACCACCACTGCTTACTGCTTACTGCTTACTGCTTACTGCTACTGCTACTGCCACTGCTACTGCCACTGCCACTGCCACTGCCACTGCCACTGCCACTGCCACCGCCACTGCCACTGCCACCACCCACACCGCCGCCACCTCCACCGCCACCACCACCGCCACCGCTACCGCCACCGCCACCGCCACCACCAACACCACCACCACCAGCAGCAGCAGCAGCAGCAGCAGCAGACGCATAGTTCTCAGCAGCGGTACGTACCACCACCCGCCTGGGCGGGGATGTACCACCACTCAGCCCCATGCAGGGAACATACATCACTGAAGCCACAAAAGGCAGCATTTTCAACAGAGTCTGCTTCCCCTCTGAACACCGCCATTGGGACTGTAGGAATAACGTGATTTTAAACGAGACGGTGCACCTGGCCATAGTTGGAGCTGCTCTGGGAAACAGAACGCAAACCAGATTAACAAAGATTCCTAAATCAGTTCTCGCTGCAAATCAGGTCTCCGACGATGGGAGGCGCGTGGTGCAGATTTGGCTTTCACAGGCTCGGCAAGATTTGCAAGCCTATCTCAGGTTCTGACCACCTCGACGACTTGAAATGCGAGTCGGATGCCTCGATGGAGCAAGTGTCTAGTCTCGGCACAGTCTGCAGACCCTCATGTGGCGAGGCGCTATTGGACTGGGCTGCATTCTTATCGCTTGAGCCGCTCAGACACAAGCAGAGGGTTCCACCACCACTGATCAGCCTTCTGGCTTGTCCTACAGAGGTAGTGGTAGTGGACATGCGATGCCAAATTTCATGCAGTACACGCCTTTTGAAGGCAAGCTTTGTTTGGAGATGGTCGCAAAGGAGATGCATCTGCTAGATTCTGAGTTCTTGCCTTGCCTGAAGACTCGATCTGAACAACATTCCGTTTGCGGTCTTGTGCCGTTGATGGCTTGTGGCGAAGGCGATACGGAGCTGCACCCAACCTGACCTTTCATAGCTTCAACCCTGGAACGGTTGGGAGCCCCATCCGACCGACGACAACACACGTGCTGGTGGTCGTGCACAGAGGGCGCAAAGTCGGACTCCGAGGCGGACACAAAGCTCATGCGTCAAGGGACTGTCTACGGCGTGATGCCCTCGCTTGGTGTCTCCACTGCGAATCTCTGTGCAATCTGGCACTAAAGGCTGGCAAGAAGATGGGCCGCGGCCGCAAAATAGTCAAGACAGAACAGCCGAGTCCCTGCCTCAGCGTGACAATGAATCGATGGAGTACCGCGCCGCTCTTAGAGAGTTGCTTGAGCAAGATGCCATTTCTGAAACTACCCTTGCTGGGAAGCTGGGCTGGACGGTTGCCCTGTGTTTCATGATTTTCGAAGTCATTGGACAACCGTTGTTTTTTACTCGAGATGCAGCCCGGACCTGAAACCTCATAACTGTTACCAGTTCATGTTGTGTGCTTTGTTGATTATCCTTTGCGCGCACTGCGGTTCCTGGACTCCGAGCATTTGGACGTCTTCGCAGAAGTTTCCGTGTCTCGAGCTGGAGCTCAAAGAGCGTGCAACAATGAATTGAAAGCCAGTTCGAGCTTAATGCGAGTTAGAAAGTTGAACGGCGCAGCAATAAGATGGACACTATGAGAACGGGAACTCCATCATCATCATCATCATCATCATCATCAGCATCATCATCACCATCATCATCACCATCATCACCGTCATCACCATCATCGTCTTCATCATCATCATCATCATCATCATCATTATCATCATCATCATCATCGTCACCATCATCACCATCATCACCGTCATCATCATCATCATCACCAGCATCACCAGCATCACCAGCATCAGCATCAGCATCAGCATCAGCATCAGCATCATTTTCGTCTTCATCTTTATCATCGTCATCATCATCAGGATCATCCTCATCATCATCCTCATCGTCATTGTCACCAACATCAGAATCATCATCATCTTCTTCGTCATCATCATCACCATCATCATCATCACCATCACCATCATCATCGTCTTCGTCACGTTCATGACATTCACCACTTTCACCACCACCACCACCATCATCATCATCATGATCGTTAGCGGCATGGATTAATTGTCCGCGACATTATGTCGTCTTCGCGTACTTGTGCCTGCGCCTGAAAGTTGAAATTGAAAACCAACCTGTGTTAGAGCTCTCAGATATGCAGGATAAAGACCGCAAGAGAAGCAGAACACATGACCTATTACTTGAGCCAGATGCCCTGTGAAACTCGCCTAGAAACCTGGAATGCCAAGTGCTGACTCAAAGACGCAACGGCCCAACTCTGCGAATTAACATCTCTTTTGGTCTGTGGCATTTGGTATGAAGTAATGTCGGACCGCTTTGAAGATGGTGGTGACATGCTCTTTCTTGTCTAAACGGCTGGTAGTGGTTTCTTGCTTGACTCTCCACGGCCGCGGCCTTCGCCAAATCCCGAGCAAGGAGGAGTCGCATCAGGAACACGATTGGTTCAAAACATTCCATCTTGTTTGGCCTGTCAAGCTATGGATTGAGATTTCCGAGGGCAGGACTCGCCCATGGAAAAGACGAGGGCATCGCTTTTATGGAGGTTTCTGACCGCGGGCTTCTGGACAGGTCCAGACTGACAGTTGGCGGTGATCGAAGTTTGATCTCTTGAACCCGCAGCCCCGCACGAGTTGAATGGCACGCTGAGCACTTGCTTGACTAGTCGTGAACATTCTCCCAAGCACTGGAATGTGCTCTCTCCGAGCACACCTCCTGTGATCTTGGGATCCCCGGATACAGGGTTCCGCTCGTATTTTGTTGCACAACCTCTCTGGTAAACGTGTTTTATTGCCTGAGCACAGGGGTGCAGGCCGCTGTTTGGAAGGTGATATGGCCAGAACATCGTCAGCTTCTACAATTAGGACTGAAGTTCCTTGGAATGAGTGGCAGTTAGAACATTCTCCTTCGTGGTCTTTCTGTGATTCCGTAGTGAGGCTGGCCTGTGAACTATCTGTGATTATTCTGTGATGCCATGCATGTGTGTTTGTTCAGTCTGTGACTTTCCCGTGAAGAAACCCTATCTGCTACGACGACCTGGTCCTGCTCACAGCCAGCGTCATAGGAAAATCACAAGGAAGATCACAACGAAATCGCATACACAGACTACTCGCAACACTGCATTTTACACGGCGTAAGGTTGTCCTTCAGCAATCGCAGGAAACGATTGGGCGCCAGGATTCGCCATGTCCGGGTGGTCCATACTGCCTCATATTGAAAGAATTCTTGTTTGCGGCACGTGGCGCCAGAGTTTTCGGAAGTGGACTCTGCAAACAAAGCTTTACGAGGATGCTGGCCAATTAAAGTGGGGTGCAAACGGAACAGGCTCAGTGGACGACTCACTCGAAAACTGATTCGCTTTGTAGATGTATATAGGACTTCGGACAGCATGGAACCATGAATGGGAAAATCTGTATTTGTGATTGGCTGTGGTTCGGGGTGCGATTGCTGCGGCCACCTCTGTGAAATCCTTATCAAGATCTTGTGGTGTTGCTGCGAGTGTCTAGCGAGGGACGCAGCATTGCTTAACATTGCAAAAGCCATGATCTGCGGCCAGCATGTTGGTTGCCCGAAACGTCTCCAAGATTATCTTCCAGCACCGCGAGTTCGGAAAGCAGCTTACTTCGCAATGGTCGATGACAAGTACCAGCGTGAGAGCCAGGATCTTGGCTTTCATGTCAACATTGACGTGGCACGGAACTCTCAACAAAGGGGTATGCCTGTGTTGCAGAAAGCACAGGCGGTCACTTTGTCGGCGACGCAGAGAAGATGCCACAGGCCACCAACCTGGCTTCCTGATGAGAGACTGTCATACTCTCATGCACCAAGATACGGCCCATGAAACTGTTTCTAGGTCATTCAAGATGCCGCAGCTCGCGAGAAGCTGTGGCAGGACTGCTCTTCGTGCCTCGATTTGCCTGATTGAGGACCAACTCTTTCTGCCTCCATGGCCGGTGTCCCATCAGAGCTGGTGAGGAGTTTGTCGAGCTGACGGGGGCGCAGTGGCCTGAAGCGAGGGCCAAAGTAAGAACCGAGGAGGAAGGCGTTCTCCTTGCGTAATGCAAAAGAGACAGGGAGCTTTGCTGAAACGTTTCGCCGCAAGCTCAGCAGTTCAGCCTTGCTTCCATCGTGCAGTGCTCGTCCTTCCGAAGCTCTTTCAAGAGCAACATGCGTCATCATGAAACTACAGGAGTCACCTTGTGCAGAGTTTGTGCAGAGTCTGTGCAGTTCCCACATGCAAAGTTTCGCACTTTGTATGCGCACCAACCACCCCGAATTCACCCCTGGTTCCAGTGTCATCACCATTCATAAAGTCCTACAGAAAGAGCAGCCACCGTAGAGCACCATGTCGGGCTACGCGCAACCGCGTTCGCTGCCATTGGGGCCTACACTTCCTTTGCCTTTCGAAAAGGATTCCGCCAAGTGAAGCTACCCTTGCTACTGGAGTGAAGATATTTCGTGTGATGCAAGCAAGGACTCTCCATCGCAGCGACGAATACCAGAGGCAGTCTGTACGTGATGTAGGAAGTTGTCGTGATTCAGGGCTACTCCGTCCCGTATTCTCAGGCCCCGATGCTCCCGGAGGCTTCACCTCTCGGGGGCTTGATCTGTCCTTTAGGACCCAATGCGCCGCGAGCTCGCTGCTTTTTTTCACATGGGAGGACGCGTTTCAGCTTCTGTCCTGGAACAGCGGTTTGACTGAGGTCGCCAACTCTCACGACGCCTCAGTGCGGCGACTCACCCAAAGGTGGGCGGAAAGCTCGAAGTCACGAACTTCAAGCAGCATGTGTCGGACATTCAGGTTTTGGAGACGTCAGCAAGCAAAGCAAGCTAGGGGCCTTGAGCTCCTGTCTCAGCGTTGGGTTTCTGCCTGGAGAGGGGCTTCCCAGTTTGCTGTGAGGTGACATGAATGAATGGGCCTGGGAGATGGGCAGTCAATGCAGCCCAGAGCTGAGCTGGCTGAGCTGCAGTCAACTAGCATGCGGTCGGCTTCTCTCATGTGAGAGTCCAGGCGTGCCGTCTGCATGGTCCAAGCCCAGCACTGTCCACAGCAGCATCAGCAAGCTTAGCACTGTGTGTAACTCAGCTTCCCTCGTGTCGTAGATGGGTTCCACACAGATTCGCGGCCTTAAGGCCACCGGTGAGGGTCTTATCCCCGGCCTGGTGGATGGCCAGAGGCTCTCTTCCGTCAAGCCCTGTGCTGCCGGGGCTCTGAGCATTCCGGCGGTAAGACGGCTTGTGCTTTTTGACATGAATTGTTCATGCAGCGCATGTCGCTGGCCTGTCGAATTCGCACCAACTGTGGCATGTCCCCTCGAGGTTCCTACCTCGGGTGGCAAGGTGGTCGTAAGCCTGCGCAAGGAGGCGCGTGTGTGATCACACTGCCATGCCGATCATGCCGAATGCTGAGGTGGTACACTGCTAGCAATGCGAGTCTCGTGTGATGTTCAGGTGCCTCAGGGCTTCTGGGACAGTCACGGGCTTATGCTTTGAAGCTTTCAAGGATCTTAGCCCATGTGGATGTGGGCCGAGGATTGGGCATCGTCCTTGTCAATGGCCCTGTACAGAAAAAGCTGGTGTCTGTCACCCAGATGGCCAACATGGGAGCAAGTTATGCGCTTGGGTGCCAGAAGAACGGTTTGCAACAGATTCCTCAGGCCGACAGGTGTCAAGAAGGGCAAGAAGCTGTGCGTGGAGGCAGCTGAGGACCAGCATCGAAACAGGTCAGAACGGAACTGTGCAGGTTCCAGCTGGAATGGAATCTGGAGACTACGACGTGCGCTTGGCATTTGGTGAGAAAATCATCCATGGATCGACCCCCAGCCAGCACACAGGGAACTCAAAGTGCTATAGTGTTCTATGCACTGAGACAGTACCAAAGCTTAGCTGTCTACTGAGGTGCCATACCCCTGGCAGTGAGAGATGGAGATGAGGAGGTTCCTGCAGATGCCAGTAGCGTGTACATCCGTTTGGTACCTCGACATGGCAGTGGAAGGAGGCAGACGAGGATCTAGACGACTGAGCAATGGCGACAGCCATGCGAAGTTCAGCAGTGCAAGTGCTTTGCAGATGGATTCTCGCTGTCACAGACGGATGCCGTTGCTTCGTATTCTAACCACTAGTCCTACAGGAGCACTGCATCCTCTGCAGGGCTCGGGTTCACGGCACTACGTTGCTTTTCTAGAGTTTGCTCCAGCCTGCTTGCATGCTCCTCGAAAAAACGATGCACCTGAGCAGCCTCGTCTCTCCAGGCTCCTTTTGGTTTGCAGCTGCAGCAGCAATTTTCAGAAGCAGGTTTCACAGATCGAAATTAAAATTAGTCAGTGGTGAGAATCTCACCACTTGTTCCTACCCGTCGTGCTGCACCATGCATCTGAACCAATAAAATGACACGTGGTGTCTCGATTCTTGATGTGTGCACCACCCGTGCGGCTTGCACTCTTTGATTCGGACGGGATGAGTTTGTTCGGTGCAGGCTACACTTTGGCTCCAGAAGGTGGAGTCTTTAGCCAATCTTTTCTCCCTGGGGCTGGACCGTTGCCTTCCCGGTCTGGTCCTTGCACCGAGCAGAAAGCAGGGACGCCATTGCTGTCACTCATGCTTTGCTTACTGTTTGGATGTGGTTCTGTTCAAGGAATGGCAGACTGAATTCAGTAAGGCATCTTGCTAGATTTTTCGTTGGCCTACAGCTTTGGAAGGTGTTGATGGATCGCACTGCATCGGCCGAGCTCCGTCCTCAGACTGTGTGCTAGGTTACAGTTGCAGAAGCTGGGGAGGGCCTGTTTTTTGGTAGGAAAGGCCCACACTTGGCGGACAGACTCACGGAGCAGAAACGCGATTTTCGAAATGCAGAACAGTAAGAACCTGATAAGTATCTGTTTCTCAACAGTGCGTTTAGAGTAACGCTGTAATCCTAACTACTCCTAACTTAGGAGCAAAATCAGGGGATCAATAGGGTTTGAGGACCTTCAGGAAATCATAGGAAGGTGCGCCGGGACAGCCTTTCATGCTCGAAAGGATGATACGAGCATTTCAATGAGCCATGTGTTGGAAGAGGGAGCCCGGGTAGCTTCCCAGCAGAGCTGACCTTTTCGTCACAACAACCAGCTACGTGACGTGCATTCAAGAGACGGGACTCTCTGGTCACCACTGTTCAGATGGACTCTGAGTGCCAACAGCGTGGACGGTCAGAAGCTTGACGAGGAGTCCGCAACTGCACCGAATAAGTGCAGAAAGCGTCGCCACGTTGTGGTATTTCTAAAACTTCGACTCCCAAGTGTTTTCTTCGAACATGTCACAAGTTGGGGGAACTATGTCCCGCTTGGTGTAGAGTGGAACAAGACATGGATATCGTAGAGTAGACGAACCTCAAAGGCCCACGCACTTTACAAGTTTCTGGGACGCAAAAGCCGGTCCCCATGGCTGGGTCCAATCTCCAAAGACTCTGGCACCCTGGCCTGGAGAGGAGGGGCAGGGGCGAGGCCCAAACAAAATGAAATAACACATTGCTTGTTTTTGTTCTCCGCCTTCCCCGAGCCCTCCTTCAACTCAAGACAGAAAAGGGGATGCACGCAAGTCTCGGCCTTATCATTTCATTCACAACCCTCGCAGACATGCTAAGGTTGTCCTTCTACGAATTACATTGCATTGTACCCACCCGTGTTGTATATGTATATGTGCATACTTCTGTCTCCGTGTGTATATACATCTATGAACTCAAGGGACAGAACGTTGCACATGTATTTGGATATGTGTGTGTATATATATATATCTATACATATATATATATATATATATGAGGCCTATGTTTTTGCACACGGCACTTTCGCATACCTTTCGGTATTTGTCATTTTGGATTTTTTGGATTGCTTTGCATGCTCCCCGGCAGGCACCCATGGTAGGCCGCTCTCTATACATAATCGTCTACATGTGCATACATACCTACATATATACTTGAATACTTAACACATACATGCATGTATAAACACATAGGCAGTATACCAGCAGCTAATGTTATACCCTCACATGAACTTCAAGCCTGTATGCTCGGGTGCACTCATATGCATGAGTTCTTGTTTATGTATGTAATTGGTAGATTTTGGCGTTTGAGAGTACTTATATATTCACTAAACTTCGAATCCATCAACATGTCTTGAATGAAACATATACAACAATGATATCCGTGCAGATACACTGATGATATACTGACAGCTATGCCACCAACTTGAGACATACATAAACACATAAAATACAGTGGGGCAATGGGGTTCATTGAACGGTTTGGGAACCGACCCTTTAGCCCCTTCCAGCACGATCGGAACATTTGTTTCGTTGTGTTTTTCTATAGGGATAGTCAGAATGATAATTCCCAGAGTCGGAATGAATGACGGGCGTGCACAAAACAAAACACTACGTGGTGGGTGACAGACCCGAAGGTTCTACAATCTTGAAGAGAAATTGCCTGGTGTCGCAGACTCTGATGGATGACTTGCCACCCAACAACACGACTCCGACATTGCGGTTGCATCTTCGTCATGTTTCGATCTCATAAATGTGTTCAACACATAAGCTTTGCAGTTGCTTTGCAGCATGGCTGGTTGGAGTAGGGTCCAAAGCTCTTATATGAATCAACATCACACCTCCCTTCCATAGCCATTGCGGCTCAGGGAAGCGGAGGTCCTTTGATCTATATGCATGCCATGGCTCTGTCTCCTGCAGTTTTAGCGGTTCTCTCACGAGAGGCTGTTGATGCAGTTTCGGCTGCGGGGATTGAGACAGATGCTGATTTGGCTTGCTTCTGGACTTCCGAGGAGGAGATCTTGCAAGCTTTTTCTGCAGAGATCGCTGGGCTGATTGTTCGAGCTTGGATTGTGGCGAATCAGTGCTTCATGAGAGACAATGACCTTCAGCCATTACAGCTTCCTCCGAGACCTTCTGTGCAGGTGGCAGTTGCGGCACGCCCTAAGAAGAGATGTTGGCCGCCTGCTCTGCTTCAAAGTAAGGCCTGTCGCCTTAAGGGCCCACACCCTGTGGAGCCTGTACATCAAGTGCATGTGGAATCTCAGAGGTCACAGCAGGTACAGCTTATGCTGGATGTCGTGGTGGCTTCCGGTTCTTCCAACTTGAGATTTTCACCGACTGAGTTAAGGGCACGATCTGAGGTATTGCCCTTGTTTGTGCGGTTGCTTGACAAGGTTTCTGATGCGAGGCTTACAGCTTTGTTGTCTACGCTTAAAAGATGGATTCGCTATGCAGAGTGTCATTTGCCAGCGGACGTGCCCTATTGGATGCCAACGGCGATGGCTTTGGCTGCCTTTTTGCAGCAGGTCGCGCGTGGCGGCCCTACAGCTTCGGTTAATGTTTACCACAATTTGAAATGGTGGGTGGATCATCTGGGCCTTCCTTTGCCTGTTCAGGATCCGCTGGTTGCAATGTACAAGTACCCGCCGACAGGGCACGCGGCGAAGCAGCGCACACCAATTGCTCTGGCTGTGTTCTTTTACTTGTGTCAGAGGCTTGAGTCTAGCACGGGTACAGTCAAGGCTTTCATTGCATGGACTCTGCTATTGTGCACAGCTTGTCTGCGATTCGCACATTTGCAGCGATCAGTGCAATTGAGATGTGATGATTCATTGCTGTCGGCCTTGTGTAAGAAGGGCAAGCGCAGGCAGCAAGGCGTGCAGCAGCCATTCGTCTGGTGTGTACCGGCCTGCCCGGCGCCTCATGTCTGTATTGCACAGACTTTGCTGCTGGAATATGGTGAGTTGGTTGTTGCCAAGCCCGACGTGGATTTCAATATTCCGGATTTGCAGCTGCCTAAATCGGGGCGCCTCGAGCCTGGTACTCCTAAGATTGCACGCAAGATGAGTAGAGCTAAGTTCTGTGACTTGGCGAAGAGCTTGCTTCGCGCGATTGGTGTCCAGGACGAGGACTTGGAGCAGCTATCCAGCTTACTCTTTCCGGCGCTTCATGCCGACTCTTGCTGATTGCTTGGATGCTCCCTATGAATCCAGGTTGGCTGTTGGCAATTGGGTCGAGGCGGCGGCGGATCGGGTTACGGCTCAGAAGGCTGGGTCGGCGATGCCTATCAGGTATTCTGATGAGAAAGCAATCACTGCTGGTATGACTAAGCTTCGCATGCTTGTGAGCCTGGACATTGTGAAGCAGAGAGTGCTGCCGGGGGATGTTTCGTGGTCTGAGGTTACTCGACTACGCCCGTCTTCCTCTAAGGTGGAGAAGGCTCTGCAATCTTCGGCATGGCGCACAGATGATGATGTTATTCCCAAGCATGCTTCCGAGAGCGAGGGCGAGGCAGAAGGAAGTGACAATGATTCGTCCTCGAGTTCGTCTTCCTCGCTTAGCAGCTCTGGTGGCTCTGCTGAGGCCACCCCGGTGGTTACTTGGTTTGCGCAGCATGCTAGAGGTTCCGTGCATTTGATGCAGAGACAGGCTGGAGCTAGGATGATGCCTTGGTGCCGTGACATTCCCTTTGATGCTGCTCATTGCGAGCGGGGGTACGGCACTGATATAGGTGAGGACCGTAGTCTCTGTAAGAAGTGCGTAGCTAGAGCGCCCCCGGCTGTCCTTGCACGCTTTGCTTGATGGCCTATGGGCTTCTTCGAGTTGTGCCTGGAACCGTGATTGGGGGTGAAAAGATAGGGATGCTTCGCTTCTTATTTGAGCTTGCTTCGGAATGTTTGGTTGGCGACGATTGTTGCATTGCTGCAGTCCATTTTCAGCTAGACACCCAGGGCACCCAAGCACTCAGATGGGGGCCGTCCCATCCTCGTTCGAAGATCATGTGGATGCCGTCTTTCGGGTGCTGCTCATTCTGCCAGCACCTTGGCTGGCCGTTCTCCGAATGGCAATGCGGCGCTACGAAGATCAGCCAAATTTGAGGGAGCCCGCCGTCGCGTTCTATGCGTCGCTGCCCATGGTGCATCCGGGGTCTTCAGTCCGTAGTGGCAGGAGGCCTGATTTTGATAGTCCCGAGGTGTGATCGTGGCATACTTCATTCATTGG